TTATTTTATAGCCTCCTTTGGAAAGAATTCTAGTTTTACTAAAAAGAAAAATTTCTTCCACCTCTAAATATTAAAAAGTATTTTGGATGTTCACAGGAAATCTTCTCATCCTGCAACTGATAACAGGGATTCTGAAGAACTGTGTTCACTGAGGCCTGAGACATGAGGCACTGAAGCATCCTGGGAGGACACAAGGCACAGGCCACACCCTCTGGGAGGTCCCCCCAGGCAGAGAGAAGAGGTGACCATCCAGAAAACGAAAAACACTCTGGCTATGTGGGGCAGGTATCATCTTAGATGGATAACTAAAGATTTGCAGAGGTAGACGTTCAAAGAGGCTGGTCACATTTTCCCTTGTCACACGGGGCCCTTGCTGCTGCTCCACCCAAGGTTCAGGATCCAAAGCCCAAACTGGGAAGCCTTACCCAGGCCCATCTTACTCACATACTTGGCCTGTCAAGCCTAGTGCTTGCCCGGCTCCATGCCAGGTACTGCAGGCTCTGAGACAGGCTCTCCACACGCCCCTAGTAACAATCAGCAGCTCTCACAGTCCAACCCAACAGACCCTGAGAGAAAAGTCCCAGGGAAATGTATCCAACTGAGAGGCAGAATTTGTGAGACCCACCCCCGCCCTCCACAAGGCAGAAGAGAAGCATTTCATTCCTGCACCCCCTGTTTCCTAACAACACCTGTCCCTGCGTTTCCTTTGGTCAATTATGAGGAAAAGTGCTCAGGAAGGCCCACACGAATCCAATATTACCAGGGCACCTGGCTCAGAGGTAGTTTTATTAACTCTTGACCTCATGGTTTCCCTGAGGAGAGGTATAAATCTTGGAGAAAAAGAAGTGCCCAGAGCATGGACGACTGTGTAGAGCAGCAGGTCCTAGGGGCATACATGGACTTCAAGCTATGAACCCCAGGGGAGAGAGGCAGGGCCAAAGGCGAGAGCCCAGCAGCCTCTGCCACAAGCCTGACTCCACCTGCCAAAGGATCATTTTACAAGTGTACTTATAAACCCACATGTGAAGAGCTTCAGAATGCCAGCGCCTGGGAGAGACAGATTGCCTTTCCCTAGTGCAATGTAATCAATTATTCATTTGTTTGTTATAAATTTTAGGACTGAATGTTACTTGAAAAAACAGGGCCATTCATTAAATTATGCAGCAAACATCCATTGTACGTGGCAGGAACCAACTATGGAGACAGGACAGTAAACAAGTAACTGGGGTTACCCATGGCCAGTAGAGGAAAAGCTTAACACAACGTCTGGCCCACAGTAAGCACTCACTAAGCAGTGCCTTCTACAGAGGTATTTCAAGTGGAAATGAGGGAAAGGGGCAGCAAGGATGAGCTCATGGCCAAACTCACATGAAACACTGAAGGGTTAGAATTTTCCCTAGAGACAATGAGGCGCTGATGCAAGGTTTAGAGCAGAGGAATGACATCACCAGATTTAAGGAAGGTCACTTTGGGAAAACTCTGGTGGGTGAGAGTTAAGACAAAGAGATTAGCTACACAGCTCTGAAGAGAGTCCAAGTAAACAGTGGTGATAAGCTGAACTGCAACAGTGAAGCTGGGGGTGGAGAAGGAGTTTAAGAAAAGCAATTTCAAGGGCTGGGTGGACTAAGTCAAGACAAGGAGGGGGGAGGGGAGAGAAAAGGTAGGCCTTGGCCCAGAGCCTGGGAGGAAGTATGGTAGCATTTACCAAGATAGGGTCCCCAGCTGCCACTTTATGGAAAAAGAAAATGAGGTAGATTTTGGGAAAGTTATTTTGGGAAGCTTAACAGACACCACAAGAGGAACTATCTTCAGGCATTCACATTTTCAGATCTGCAGTTCAGGAGAAAGGTCTGAGCTTGAGGAAAATCGCCTTCAGGCGACAGACCAAGCAGTGAGGGCTGGATAAAGCAGCCACTCAACAAGTATTTATTAACACCTACTACTTAACTAGCCACTGTAAGAAGTGATAAAGCTAAAGGAAAATACAAGAAAGAAGAGGTTTCTGTTCTCAAAGCGGTTATGTTCTGATTAGAATAGGCAGTACATACGCAAGCCCACACAAACACAGGGAAGGAAAAATATTACTTAGTGAAATTGCCAAACACAGAATTAAGTTAGGGTGTGGTGTCTGGCTGAGTAGTTCTTTTGTCTCTGCCCAGGAACGTATTTGAAGAACAAAAGAGAAGGATGAAGACCTCCAGTTAGGGAGCCACCTTTGTGGCCAAGCACAGACAACAAAAGGCCTGACAATGAGTATATCACGCGGACCAGGATATCTTAACTCCTGCTCTACAATCTCACGCAGAGACCATACCACCAGCTCTAAACTAGAGCCCCCAAGAATAATTTTAGCAGTTTATTCTTCAATTCAGGAACTATGGTAGGTCCTGAGCCCAGGGCTAGGTGCCAGGGAAACAACAGTGAGTAAGATGGCCATAGTTCTTGTCCCACAGAAGCTCACATGCTTAAGAGAAGACACGCCAAACACATACACACCAAGTAGAGTATGAAAATAAAGGTAACTGCAGGTTGTGCTAAATACTGTGAGGGGGGGAGGGGAAATATAAGCAAGGATAACAGCAAGTGATCTACTTTGGGTAGGACGGTCAGAAAGTGCCTCTGAGGAGGGGCCACTAAGATGGGTGTTAGAGCTGAACATGAAAAGGGTGGTGGTGTAGGCCCTGCAGGGGAGGGATGCATGAGGGCAACAGTTCAAAGGGAGGAAAGAGCTTGACATGTTTGAAGAACTAAATGATGGCCAGCAAGCCTGGGCTCGAGGAAAAGATGTAATGACTCTGGAAACACACAGAGTCACATCACTCAAGGCCCTCCCAGCTGCTGTCAAATGCTTGGATCCTACTGTTAGGACAACGGCAAGCCACTAAAGGGCTTTTCAAGCCAGGCATGACCTGATCCGATTTTCACCTTCAGGAATTTCTAGCCAGGAGAGGGTCAAAAGATTGGAAGCTGGTTCTTTCTGAGCATGCAGCCCCATTCAAGCAGACAGTGAGGCAGTCCTTCAGGCCTTTATTCCACCCACAATTAGGGTCAGGTCTCCATGTGTAGAACAACTCTTCCTCTCCAGATCTTCTGTTTGGCGTAAGTGCTTTCCGGAAAGCCCCATAAACTCACTAAAGCATTTCCAACAAACTCTGCTAGAGTGTTGGAGAATGGACGAGTTTGGGAAACCACTCCCTCATTTCTGATGGAAATTGTTTTCTCCTCCACTGCTTTCCATTAGTCCACAGCCTGAATGATTGTGTTTGCTCTTTACTCTGCCTCCTTTTGTTTTCCAAAAGGCCAGGAACATGTGTACTGCTATGAACAATAACAAAGAACTATAAATCCTTATTGATCCCAGAAGGTTGGGCAATGTAAACAATAAAAATATATCCTCTGCCTGCTTCTTTCAAAAGAATGTTTTAGAAACACAGAAGAGCTATGTTAAAAAAAAAAAAAAAAGAGCTTTGGGGACACTTTGGCCTAGTTACCTGGTACTAATGTAAGAGGCAACTTCACCCAGAGTTGGAAAGATCTGTCACCCTCCCCTGTCTCAGCTTCATTTCTCAGCGCACAGCTTGAGTGTGTCAAGCCCAGTTTCCTATATATCTTTCAACCAGTAGTTTTCGGGATCCAGCATTCTCAGCCTAAAGAGAAAGTCTCCTTTGCCCTTCCATCCATAGTTCTACTGGATGTTCCAGTCACTTTGTTGTCTGCACTAAGAAGCTTCACAATTATATTAGACACTGAATTTGAATTTTCCTGTGTTTATGTAATTTGGTCAGCCACTGGACCATCCCAGAACTCAGAGGAAATCTTTATTGTTCAAGATTTCTTATAATATTTCTAAATATCTTTATATATTTCCCCTCAATTTCTGTATTTTTCTATCTTTCAAAATACATGAATGGCCCTCCCTGGGGGTGTAAGGGATTAAAGTGCAGCCATGAAGAGCCACAGCTGCTTCAATGCAAGTTCAATCCCCGGCCAGGAAGGTGACCCACATGGCACACCAGACCTCTCCTGGCCCGCCCGCTGCTCCCCTCAGCAGTGTACTTCATCCATCTGCCTATTTTGATCCCTGCTCTGTCTCTGGTGAATCCTTTCACTGTCCCGGCACCTCTGGCCTGCACCCAGTTCTGTATGCATAAATAAATAAAATCTTTAAAAATTAAAAAATAAACAAAATACATGTGTGGGTGCTAACACAGACACAGATGCAAATACACCACCTTTTCTCTGTTATCAGTGAAGTGTCCACTGTTTATTCCAACTAGATGGCATCCCTCTGGGGATGTCCCTCTTGTTCCCCAGATATCAGAGAGGTGCTCTTAGCGGCATTTTTTTCTCCTAGCTTTCTCAGATGCACTCTTCCCAGAATTCCCTTGACCCTTCAACACAATCACAAGAAAATGTGACTGAGAAAAGTTGACATAAGTGCAGCCATTTTAAAATGGAACCAGGCAGCCACAACAAAATACTTTGTTGTCTTATCTAAATTGGATTCAAATGGGGCAAAAGGCAACTGTTTCACAACTGCTTGAGAAACCAGCACAAAATTATCCTATTTAAAAGGACCGATAAGAGTGAACTTTTACTGACTTTTATCTTGTGACTCTTTCACCTGACCATTACGTCATCCTTCACCACCTCCTCCTTTTGCTCTATATAAAGTCCTCTGACTTTTGTTCCTTCTTGGGACATGTTTTGGATTTCCACTGCTCCCCCATATTTAATTATTTGATCCCTGACAAATGGACTTTGCCTTTTAGTGGGATCCTGAAATTTTAGATTCATGTGACCAACTGACATTCTATGGGTCTGCCTGTCTTCGCCTATACATGTCTTTGATTTGCAAACGTACAAAATTTACTAGAAAGGCTGAAAATTAACCACAAGGTCATGTACATAATAAGTAGTAAATTAACTAGAGAATGTTTTTCTGTTCTTTGGACAATGTTGAGGGGAAAGCAGATCACTGCTAGCAAAGTACAGCTTACCTGAATGTATTATAATCCACCCTCTTCGTATGGTTGCAGTCAGCAGCTGCAAACACCTGCTTGATCTCTCTGGATTTTGGTTCTTCGTCTTTCAGTTTTTGTAGGGCAAGCTGAAGGTTGCTGTAAGGAAACTGAAAGGGGAAAAGAAAGTTATTCAAACATGCCTGCGATATAGTGAGCCAATCCTTCTGATGACCAGATTTGTATCTCTTCAGTGAAGGCTTTAGGACAACAAACAGTATTAGCACAGGACCAGATCTGAGAGAAACTGAGCTGAAGCACTGCAGGCCACAGGGCCCAGAACACACTCCCTACTCCCACACAAGCCCCTGCCCTTTAACTCTGGGACACTGGCAGAATAGGGTGAGAGATCACAATGGAGAGATGAGGATTTAAAATAAGATAAAAGGGGGCCCTCCCTGGTGGCGCAGCAGGTTAAAGCACAGCACTAAGAAGCTAATGGCACTTCAGCATGAGTTTGATCCCCGCCCTGGAGGTGATTCACAGGGTGCAGGAGACATCTCCTGGCCTGCCCACTGCTCCCCTCAGCAGTGTAGCTCATCAATCTGCCTGTTCTGCTCCCCACCCTGTCTCTGGTGAATCCTCTCACTGCCCCTGCACCACTGGCCTGTACCCCAGTTCTGTATGCATAAATAAATAGATCTTTTTTTTTAAAATTACATAAGAGGATTCCATTTATTTTCTCCAGATCTTTAGAGTGGCTCCTGGGGATTGCTGGTCCCCAAAATATGCACTGAGCAGAGCAAAGCCTGTGGTCAGAGATCAGCCTGCACTGCAATCCCCAACAATCCCTCTCTAGGCAGCCCCCAATTCCTGTCACCTACCATGTGGTTAGGCTTTTGACTTTGGAAGAATAATTTTTATTCAATCCAGTAAAGCATAATGTTGTAAATAATTATAGCTAAGAGCTAAAAAAATGAAAAGACTACGTTTAAAAATAAAAACATTAATGGTAATTTAGTATAAAGCTCTCTCTCTTCCACCAGGGAGCTTGGCATCTATGCAATTCCCTAATCCCTTCTTTTTGGCATTTCCTTTAATCCATTTCCATGATAGGATCCATTAGGTCTTTTGAAAAGACTCCTCAGACTGATATTAAAGAGTATATTAATCTTTCTGTGCTTAGAATATCCCCGTTAGAGGTAGTTTTAAAATAATGCATTTTCACTTGGGACAACGATACCAGATAATATCCTACCCAGCTTTCATCTTTCTAAAAAGAAAAAGCTCTTCATATATTAAAAAATATATATGATCAAGGAATAGGCGCATATATTCATGTCATATGTATATCAAGGAGTATGACATAGATTCATGTCATATCTGTATTTTACATTAAGATATAGGTTCACCCTGTGTTGGAAACTACAGCCCTAGTTTACAATAGCTACATTGGCTGAGCTGCCCTGTGCTAAACACTTTGCCACATCTAACCTTCATAGCAACTCTAAGAAAGAGGCACTGATTCATTCCCATTTGATAGATGAGGAAAGAGAAGCTCAGGTAAGATACCCAGTTAAGGCCCCACAGCTATTAAGTATGAGCTCAGGTTTCCCGGCCAGACCTGCCGGTATTCAGAAATCTAACTGCCCAGTTACTGAGCCTCTCACATAAAGGTAGTGCTTCTGAAGTTACCCGTTCATGGTTTTAAGATACATTTCTAACACTGCAAGTCAAGAGCAGGATGGCCGCCCTGGGGTGGCTCCTGTTAAGAGGGACAGAATGCACCTTTGGGATTCCCTACAGTACACCTTCCAGGGCTGCACTTCCCAGTGTTCCTGTTCCCACCCACCACCCGGCAGGGCCAAGTCTTTGATGGGCAGCCTGTACCGGGGTCCCCAAGTGGGACCCAGACCTCAGAGCTGCCCTGCCTCCCTCTCCTCATTCTTTCCCTTTCCTTTCTCAGGGGTCACACCTGCATCATGGTCTCCCCACCTACTCCCGCTCCTACTCCTTGATGGTATATAGGTGTCACCCTCAGCAGATCTCTGGTATAGCTAGTTCTGTCTTGGCATCTGCTTCTCAGAGGCCCAAGCTGACAGGGATGATGTGATATACAGAGACAGACCTCACAGCTTATCTCTAGCACTTTCCATGAAGATGAAGCTAAATTGAGACTATCAGTCTACCTATCATTGCTATATAAATAGTACTTAGAGGTAGCCTTTCAAAATAAACTGTTTGCAGAAAGATGTTTCAATATTAATGATTCTAAAAAGAACATGCCTGCACATTCAGCTAGTCTATACTTAAAATCGAGATCTTACCAACGTCATCTTTACTGAACAGCACCGCCACATAGTACTTTCAGTAACAGTACTCATCTGCCATCTTATTTCAGGAAAAAAAAAAATTCCTTGAATTCAATGTTGATGATTTGTCCCTGGATTCATATTTAGACCTGAGGCATGTGATGGGAGTTGAGATTCCAGCATGATGGGGGTCGCTCGTGGTTTCTGTTTTTTAGATCTTGGTCTTCTCTACAGACTTGTGCCAACTGACTGGGACAGCACAGTGTGCAGCATTAGACTTTCTTCCTGTGCTATCATTGTCGAATTTCTTTCTGAAAATATTGTCCACGTCAACAGAAAATGCAGGAAGTTTGATTCAATCTTGGGCCTGTTTCCTGCCTGTGCCTGGCATCTGTGATGCTGGGCAGCAGAAAACCCAACTGGTAAACAGGATAGACCAGAACCTGGCTCTAGGGTGGGACCTGCAGCCAAGTCTCAAAGATCCATTATTCATGCCCACATGTGTGAATACACAATGGAAAATGGGTGCAAAACAAAGAACAGGCCTAGGGCAAGAAAAATGCAGATGGCAGAGTGCTGAGAGGCAAGTCAAGGATCACACAAAACAGGGCCCTCCCTGGTGGTGCAATGGGTTAAAGCACAGCATTATGAAGCTCTCACAAACACTGCAGCACGAGTTCAATCCCCAGCCAGGGAGCTGAACCACATGGCATGGCAGACCTCTCCTGTCTCACCCACTGCTCCTCTCAGCAGTGTATTTCAGCACATCTGCCTGTTCTGCTCCCCACTCTGACTCTGGTGAAGCCTCTCACCCCCCATGCCGCTGGCCGATACCCCAGTTCTGTATGCATAAATAAATAAAAATCTTTTAAAAAGCATTACACAAAACAAGTTCACCTTGTCCGTATTGTTCTCCATGTAGTTTAAGGTGTACTCATCAGCATTGAGCAAAAGAAATATGTAGCCATTCACGTTCACTTTGGCTCCAACATACAGCTCCTCAACTTGTATATATTCCGATAGTTCACTTTTAAAGACTTCTTGTCCGGGCCTCTTAACGCGAATTCTTTTCAAGAACATCCCACCAGTATACCCTATAGAAAATGTGGTAAGTTAATGAGTAACCTTTATTCTTAAAAGAATAATACAACTTGCCTTGAGCTATTTCACACTCAAACACAGACCACACAATTTAGCTAATGAACTCATAATGGTCTATTATTCTCAGGTGGATGGGAAGAACCAGGCAGTGGGCAAAGAAATGAGACTTCCTAGGTGAGTATATAAAGAAAAATGTAATGCTGCATTCCAATATTTTCTTTTCTTTTTCCTCTACCTCCTGCCCAGTTCAAACACTTACAAACTCAGCAAGTACCTGCAGCTCCCAGAAGCATACTGGCAACTAGGATGGTAGGAAGATATTCATAGGACAGAACATTCCCCAGTTGAACTTATTTCCACCTATTTGTTCCAGATGATGTCTTATGCTTATTCTGACAGATTAAGTGTAATATGTCCCTCTTCCAGAAATGCTCTCACTTAAGTGTTTGAAGATAATTATGGGAGTGCCCTCCTTAACTTTTTTTTTTCTTCCCCCCATAGGTCAGCTATCTTGGCTTCTTTTAGCAAAGTCACATATTTTATTCTTTCCAAAATTCTCATCATCGGCATTATTGGGTCTGTGACCTCTTGGAAAGCTGTCAACAGAGTGGAATATGGGATTCTAGTATTTTCTAACTGTAACCGGACTGAAATCTTCAGACCTATGAGCCCTAAAGATGAGCTTTTGGAGTTAGCTTCATCATGACCCTCCCACCACATTCAAAAACAATTGGTAGGACAAAGATGGAGGTTTGGGAGCCCAGTTGAGCTGGAGATCATCCTGGCTTTGTCACTTGCTTGTGGGATGATCTCAAGGAGTCACGTACTCTCTATGCATCTCTCTGAATTCTCGCTGGTAAATGAGATAAAATCTATGGGGGTTCATGAAAAAATGTACCTCTCAGATGGCCTACAATGGGGGGACACAGTGGAAGATCCCAATTGCTATGTTTTGAAATCTATCTCCAGGTTTGTGCCAAAGTGAGGCTTCCCACAGGCTGTAGCCAGCAAATGACTAAGCAAGGTTGGGATTCTAGAGCAGGCCCGTTCCTGCAAATTCGGGGCTCCTCCAACTAAGGACTTTGGTTTAGGGCTCCTCCCCATCAGCCTCGCAGTAATTTAGAATTTCACTGAAGTCAAAGACCTCTCCCTCTTCCTCCTTCCCTTTGCCCCTCACAGGAGCTACACATGCACTGACAAACACACGTGCAATACATACATAAACATACACATACACATGTCTGACAAATCTCCTACCTCTTCTGGCTTCCTCCATGGTTTCCCTCCCCAGGATTTCCCCATATAAAATCCCTTGCACATTTAACCCCATCTTGGATTAAATGACATGAAACTTAATTGCCGAAAGTTCTCATCATGATAACAGCACTCAACCACGGCTGTTATTATTACCCACAAGTTTGCAGTTGACTATTATCACTCTCTCTGGATTATTCATGCTGCAATTTGCTTGGCCTCATCTTCCCCATTCTTGATGTGTAGATTTGATTTTTTGACATTTAAGAACATGACTGTATTCATCCCTAGTCAATTTTACATTTTAAGATTTGATGCATTTTTCAAATCACTGTCGAGTCTGACTGAGCTATACAAATTATTCATTATTCATTGATGTGCTCATACCAGCTCATAAAAGAGCTGGTTGTAAAATTTTCAGGGATTTTGCAAGCCAGTTGTCAAACTGTTGGGTGCTTGAAATTGCCCATGGTGGGTATTTATGCTATGAACATTGGCAAACAGTACAAATTGGGGCTTTTATAATTTTCTCAGAGAGCCAGTTAACTAGCATACCACTGATGCTTCTTCCCAGATGTGTGCTGCTAATACAGATAAAGGTTTTAAACATGTTGGGACAAAGAATGGAACCCTAACAGTTCCATGATTTGGTAAGTGAAAACCAGTGTCTCTGCTCAGCACGGCCATAGATAGCATCAATGCACTGCAGAGAGGCCTCGGTGGGTCTTGCTACTGGAACCTGGCCAAAAACTTCAGACAGAAAAGTCAATGAAAGAAGGACTCTAAATACTAAATTTGTGAATCTGGCATCTTGTCTTACACCATTTTGTATGAGGTACTATCAAGAATATAGTTTCCTCTCATCATAGTGGCTGTGTGTGGAATTCGTGGTTGCTAGTTATACAGTCTGGTTTCCAGACGTGCCCTCAGAGGCTCCAGAGGGAGGAACGATGCAATAATAATAATAATAATAATAATAATGATGATTTTAAAAGAAGGGGAGATGGTAGCCAAAAGGAGGTGTTCTAAGTCCTCCAATACTGCACCAAATAAAACGGTTCTTTTATCATGTTATATGACTCGATTCCCATTTAAACAAAACTTAGTGGTCAGAGAAAAATGGAAGAAAGCCACCTGTTAGATCAGCTAGGCTATAAAATTATATCATAACCCCTAACTTTGAAAATAAAGAGACAGTATACTCTTCTGAGGAAATTGCTCCAAGAGGTGTATCTCTTACCTGAATTCCTCTCTATAGGTTCAAACACTGACATTGTGTCATCACTGAGAAAATATGAAATAATAAACATCCTGTCCACATCGGCACATTTGTGTGTGATTAGTTTTGCAAAGAAACGGAGCGTATTACTTATGTTGCCATAGCTAAATGGAAGAAAAATGAGGGTTAAAGCATTATACAAGTAATCCTCCACACGTCATATATATTTAAACGTCTGCAAAAAGTGTGCTATCGTTTTCTTTTTACATCTTCTGTCATATAATTGGTACATAACTTATCAGCTTCAAGAGCACAACCTAATGAGTCAATATTTGTGTATTCTGGGAAATGATCGCATGAATCCAGGTAACATCCATCATGATGCGCTGTTACAAAACCTTCTCTTTTGATGAGAACCTGTAAGATGTATGCTCTTAGCAACTTCCAAGTATGCAACAGTAGCCTATAATCTCTAGGCTACATGTTACATCCTCATAACTTATTTTATGCCTGGACATTTATACTTTCTGACTCCTTACACCCATTTCACTCCCCCAAACCCAAACCGGCTATGGTTTTCAGATAGTATAACTTTCTGAAGTAGAAAAAGGTTATCTATTTTCTGATTACTGTTCTAAATCTATAAGCAACATTTTCTCGGCATATGGAAATATCTTGTTCTTTAGATGTCCAAGGTAACATACTGAGAGAATGTACCCAAAACACATGTCATAAGCACGCTGCTCAAACAAGCTGAACTGAACAGCTGTTCCCTACCCATGAGACTGCTCACGAATCACAACCACATGTCAGCACAAAGCTCAGCACCAGCCCCTTGTGGCCAGTGTGCCAGAGTCTGTTGTTCCGCTACCTGCAGACTCCTCCTCATTTTCCTATCACTTCTCACGCCCATTTCCTTTCTTCCTTCCAGTCCCACACCCTCCAATTCCCCCACACTTCCCCCAAATCCCATTAATGGAAAGTTACCTTTTCCCTTTCATATACCATATTAAATGTTATGGACCCGGCCCTTTTATAGTGCTTATCACCCATAATTTAAGTAGCCATTTTACAAATCTGCTCTCAAGGGCAAGGACCGCATCTTATTAATTGTTGTCTAATACAACACTTTTTACATGGGAGTTCTCAGTAGATGATTGTTAGGAAATTGCTAAGAAAGTTCTTATAAAATCCACTTAGAATTTTGTGCACGAGTAGTCTAGTAGACCGAAGATGGTATCAGATTGATGAAACATAAATTCCCAAAGTTAATTGGCTGATACTTAAGACATTTTTTATTTATGGTCTGTCAACAGAAACATACCTGTATAGAAAAAGCTAGGAAAAAGAAGACTTCATAATAAACACTAAATAAACCCTTGGGATGGTCTTAGAGAATCAAAATCATTACCTTACCACAAGGAGGCACACAATGAAATGAACCATGTCCTTCGTCACTCCCTGTCACATCTCTAACCAATCCTAATTCAGATCCTCCTATGTTTAAATTTATTCTTCTGTGATGTTACAGTGATTAAAAAGAAAAGTACCTCTGATATGCACAGGCAGAAATTGTTTTCTCTGACTGTCCACGGGAACAGGACTGAAAAAGCAGGGAGTCAACATTCCCAGCTTGAAGCTTCCTATTAGCAGTCCCTGGGCAAAACAGCAAGATCTCTATAGCTGTTTTCTTAGTTGCTAGTTTCTCAGACTTACAAAAGACCTCACATAGTGCCAGGGGCAGCTACGCCTCGTCAACCATCTTCTCTGGCACATCGGAAGTAGTAAAAAGATTTGGTAGCCCACCTTTCTCTTGAAAGATCCATAACCTTTTACCAAGGCCTGAAATGTCACTGAAACAACTGAACAAAGTTTAACATCAGACCAAGTGAAAACAATTATAAACTTAGCTTCTTGGAAGTTATATAAATTTGTAAGTGTGCATGTTAAGTGTGGCTTTTTCATTTAATATGCTGCTCTTCCACCTAATTCTACTGTTCTGCAGATCTTGTCAATCAGGAATATGATCTTCTCAAAGAAACTCTTTAGACCAACTATTCACAAACTTTATTGTCTATAAAAGTCACCGGGGGAACTTATTAAATATACAGAACACAGAATCCCACCCTCAGAGATACGTATTGAGTAACTAGCTTGCATCTCCAGAAACCTGCATTTTTATTAAGCTCCCCAGGAGATTATGATGATGTTGTAGCACTCACTTTGAAAAACACTGCAAATGCCTTCAGATATTTTTTTTAATAAGCTAATTATCAAACTTCTCTAAATACTCTTTTATTTTCATCACAATTCTCCCAGCACTTAAAAACCTTTCACATTGGACTGTGATGAGTGACTGAGTCTATTAAATTATCACACTGTGATAAGTGCCAGTTCTGTGACAAGCAAGGAAAATACAAGAAATAAGAATACCCTTCTTATAAATACGAAGTCCTAGTTCAACTAAAAATAAGCTGTGTGAGCTTGGGTAAATTGTGTAGCCTCTCTGAGCGTCAGTTTTCCTGCATGGGAAGAATGGGTATGACAGTTATTTTCTTAGATTGCTTGATGATTAAATGAGATCACGTATTGTAAATTAGCTAGCACACAGTAATCACTAATTGCTTGTTACTGGTAGTAATATTATTAGAGGTATTATCAGCAGAGTATTGTTGGTACATGAAAAACAAAGTAATTCAATTGAACACAGCAAGAAAGATAATATTCTGATCTCCAAAGTCAGACTGGACAATCTACCCAGACAAGATAGTTTTTCATGTATCTCAAAAACCTCCTAGGCTTTAATTAGAAACTATTTCCTTCAATGACTCAGTATATCAGCACTAATCTCATAAAACAATTAGCACCCAGTCAATTTATAATAGCAGTATAATTAATCATATGTGTCACATACAATTCGCACATCTCAATTCACAGTTTATTTATTTACAATAAGAGAATGTTCTCTGTATATTTCATGAGATCATCTTCCTTAGGTTCTCAGTTTTAAAAACCTTAGGTTATTCCAACTCATACTGTATGTCTCCCGCTGAATGTGCCAGTCACTATGGAAACAAGGTCACTGTGTGGGAGGAGCTTGAGGGAAGTATATTTCTGGCAAAGAAGCAGCAATGGACAGAAAGAAATGAAATTAGAGGTGTTGTGCCTGTAACATCCCCTGGCCTGACAGTGTAACAAGACACAGTGCTGCCTACAGCCAGTACTCTGTAGGTGAGCTGACACAGTGCAGACGGGCAGAGACACTAATGCAACTACCCACCAAGAACTGTTTTCCCTTGGGTTCCAGAAGCAACACCCTGGAATCATGTTTCCTCTTGTTTACTTATAAGAAAAACTCCCTCTCCATTTACAATAGGCATATTCTTCCTGCCTGCTTCCTTTGGGTCGCTGCCCTCAACACCAGCAGTATGAGAAAAGTATCCAAAGTATCCAGCACAAGTCCTGCCCTAGAAACTCGCAGTAAAGACCGTTTTCTACAAAGGAAGATGGAGTATAAATTGCTGTCCTGCCTACATGATAGAAAACAGTGGTTCTCAAACCCAATGCCCAGAAGAACTCCCTGAAGGGCTGGTTCAGGCTCCAGTCACCGCCTCAACTGACCACACTTTAGTTAACATGGATTCTAAAATGTAAACATAAAATACGAAGAGTTCTTAAAAATAAGCAATTACTTTTTGAAAGACAAAGGATATCAAGTCAAGGCAAGGGCAGTCTTTTATACGTTCTATCAACTCAACCTATTTTTACCATGTTTACAGTTATATCAAAGCCATTGTACTATCTACTTCAAAATAGTCTACAGCAGACCCCATTTTATTTGATCAAAGTCAGGATGCTGTCTTTTTCTTCTCCTCCTGGTCTTACTGCATGTTCCCTTTATCATTTTGCCTCACTCAGGACTTTGATTCCTAGCCCACATTCTATTCAAGCAATATTTTCTGCAATATTTTCTTACCAACTCCCCCTCCCTCCCAACTTCCTCATCCGGGGCTTGCTCTTCCTTACAGAAGCAAAAAGCCATGGCTGTATCCACATTCTGTGCACAACTCGGGCAGATTTTCACTCATATATATTATAAACACTTTTGAAATCCCATCTTTTGAAATTATATTTAGCCATATGAGCAATCTATGGTTACTGAGCTCAAGCAAACTAAAAACACTGTCAAGTAACATTCTGAAAAACATTTACAAGTCACGGAAGGCTCAATACCAGGGCACAGCAAAGTCTGTGGGTCCGATACAGCTGGTCATTTGTTTTTATATGAGCTAACAATGGTTTTCTACAGTTTTTTAAAGGCTTGAAAAATACATTTTGTGATTTGAAGTTCAAATGTCAGCGTCATCAATAAAGTCTGACTGGAACATAGTCACATATTTGTTTATGAGCTGTCTGTGGCTATTTCCATCCTATGACAACAGAATTGAATGGCAGAGGCAGGATGATCTTGAAAGTCTACAAAGACAGAATGATCAGATTCACTATCTAATCCTTTAAGAAAATGTTTGCTGACCCCTACTCTATATCATTTCCTAGAGAACATCTTGAGAAATCTATGTGGAAAGGTACACACACACATGCACACACACACATGCACACACTTGGCTTCTGAACAATAAAGGTTTGAACTGTGTGGGTCCACTGTAGGACATTTTTTTCTAACCTCACCTTCCACATTCATGGAGTCAATCAGCCATTGATTTCAGGTGGTTGAATTCCCCTGGTATGGAATCCCCGTATGTGCAGGGCTAACTCTAAGTTATTAATAAACGTATTATCAACTGTGTGGTGGTTAGTGTACCTAACCTCCTTACCTCCTTGCTGTTGATGGTGAACTGCATCTATCTATCTATATCTATCTATCTATATATATGTACAGTGCACACACACAAACATATCAGTAACATAGACTGGGAATGACATAACTTTAACATAGACTGTAACATAGACTGGGAATGACATAACTTCCAAGTAACACTTATTAAAACAACCATTGAATGACAAGGATGTTGAAAAAAGGGAACCCTTGTACTCTTGTCAGTAAGAATGAAAATTGGCATAGCCTCTACAGAAAGGAGCTTCTCATAAAGTCAAAAATAGAACTGCCACATGATCCAGCCATTCTACGTGTGAGTATGTATCTGAAAGAAATGAAATTACTGTTCCAAAGAGAACTCTCATTTCACTGCAGCACTCTTCACAGAAACCAAGACCTGGACATAACCTAAGTGCTCACTGATGGATGCATGGATAAAGAAAATATGATATGTGTGTGTACATACTTCATGTGTGTGTGTATATATATATATGTGTGTGTGTGTACACACACACAGTCATGTGTACACACTTGATAACAGGGCTGTATGTTCTGAGAAATGCATCTTGTTAGATAATTTCATCATAGTGTTACTGGAACAGAATGCAACTATACAAACACAAAAGGTATAGCATATTGCACACCCAGACTAAATGGTATAGCCCATTGGGAGGGCTGTCATATGTGTGGTCCATCATTGACTGAAATGTCATGAAGTGATGCAGGACTATATATCTAACAGAATGTTATAGACCATAAAAATGAAGGTGACCCTGCCATTTACAGCAACACAGATGGACTTTGAGGAATTAATTTAAGCCAAACAAAGGCAAATACTGTATGATCTCAGTTATATGTGGAATCTATTTTTAAAAATACCATGAACTCAGAGAAACAAAGAGTAGGCTGGTGGCTGTCAGAAGTGGGAGGGGGTTGGAAAAATGGGTGTAGACAAAAGATACAAACATCCAGTTATAAGATGAATAAGTTTTGAGGATATAGTGAACAGCAAGGTGACTCCAGTTAACAGTACTGTACTGTATATTTGAAAGACATTAAGAGAACAGATCTTAAAAATTCTCAACAAGGGGGAAAAAACTGTGTAAGGTGTTTAACTCATTTTATTAATTTTATTGTGGTAGTCATTTGCAATACATACTTGGATCAAATCATGATATTGTACACCTTAAGCTTATACAACGTTATATGTCAGTTGTATCTCAAGAAAATTGGGGGGTGGGGGACAGGGGGGACCATATAGCCACTCTAAAGAACTCATTAAGAATGTATTCTGGGCCTCCATAGTGGCACAGCAGGTTAAAGTGCAGCACTGCAAGCAAGCCACAGCTGCTTCAGTGCGAGTTCAATCCCCAGCCCCAGAGCTGACCCACATGGCGCAGCAGACCTCTCCTGACCCGCCCACTGCTCCCCTCAGCAGTGTACTTAGTCAATCTGCCTGTTCTGCTCTCCACTCTGTCTCTGATGAATCCTCTCACTGCCCCTGCACCTCTGGCCTGTACCCCAGTTATGTATGTATAAATAAAAAAATCTTTAAAAAACCACATTCATTGAAAGGCTATAACAATGGTCCAGGACCATTAAAACTAAGTTGAGTGGCATCTGCTTCATCCTGAGGATGTATTAGAAACCCTAGACACACCTGGGAAAGATTGGACTAACAAAGACAAACCCAGAAAGCTGACAATAGGTCTGAGGTCCAGGAGGAGAGGGGAGAGACAGGCGTGGAGCAGGGCAGAAAGAACACAGTGGACAAGGGGTGCTTTGGCAGCGGGCAATTCAGTGACCACACCTGAAGGAGAAATCCTATACTGTTAAAAAAAAGTTAGCAAGGATGTGAGAAAAAGGTATTTCATTAACAAATAAGTTAATGAAAATAAATTTTTAAAAAAAAAAATCATGGCCCCGGTCCTCCCTGTTGGCACAGCAGGTTAAAGTGCAGCACTGCAAGCAAGCCACAGCTGCTTCAGTGCGAGTTCAATCCCCAGCCCCAGAGCTGACCCACATGGCGCAGCAGACCTCTCCTGACCCGCCCACTGCTCCCCTCAGCAGTGTACTTAGTCAATCTGCCTGTTCTGCTCCCCACTCTGTCCCTGGTGAAGCCTCTCACCCTCCGCATATCTGGCCTGTACCCCACTTCTGTATGAATAAATAAATCTTTAAAAAAAAAAAAAAAGCACCTGTCTTTTTCCATGAACTTCTTGAAGTCCCTCTGATGAGGTGTGGGTATGAGGCCTATGCAAGAACGGAGAGAATCTTCTTCAGAACCAAAGCCAGTGTAAGGTGGAAATTTCCTTTCTATTTTTGGAGGAGATGGAGCCTTGCACGGAATCGAGGTAAAGTTCTCTATAACAAAACAAAGGCAAATGAAACATCAATATTTTTTTTTTGCTCTGATTATGGCTGTTTTGAAAGGTTTGTTATGTTTTTAAGATGAACATGGAGATCTTTGTAGGCTATTTTAAACTATTTCAAACCAAACAGCGAAATCCTGTGAGAGTAGGTTTCAATCATGTTTACAAAAACCACAGAACTCACTCAATAATGGCCATTGGTTCAAAAGAAAGAAAAAAAAAAAAAGAAACTGTCTATGTCGAATAAGTAAACATTTATCTTTGTCATCACGTTCCCGTTTTTGAATATTTTTTTGTTCTTCCCTGATTTTTTCCAGTGACAAGAAAAGTTAAACTTGGAACTTTACACCTCCCATTCCATATTTTAACCTGTAACTTAGCCCTTTCCTATCTTCAGTCAACACTCACTAATCAGATGTCTCCCCAGGAGAACTGACTCCTGACTATTTGGCCTTTTCCATTCCTATCCCCCAGCTCCTTCTCCTATTCTATGTTCTTGGCTCTCTAGTTTTCCTCCAGCTCAACCCCAGGCCATGGAACTTCATTCTCTACTGCAAGAAAACAAAAACAAAACCTCTTTCCAACAGCCACTTCGTGTTGCTCTTGTTACTGCCTAAGAAAAGATGGTAATTGTACTAAAATGTAATAAAGCAAAATATAAAAACAAAACCTTAAAAATAGCCACTGCCTACTCTCAGAGGGAATGTTAAATGGGAAATACTGCAGATTTTCTTGGTTTACTTATCATCTGTGAGGAAGAAGAGAGAGAGAGAAAGCTGGAGACTTAATTAACTGCCTAGGAGCCTTTAGATATCCCTTTGGGGGAGTAGACAATCTCTCAGAATCAAGTATACGCTCCAGAGCAAGGAACACTTTGACCCCCCCTAGATCCAAGTCACTTGTATAAATCCCACTAATGGCAAAAACGATGCCAGGATCTTTCCTAAAATAATGCATTAACAACCTAAGGAATTTTCTTCTTTTCCAAGCTTTTGCACATGATAGGTATTCCCGTTCCTAATGGAAAGGAGTCTCCAATCCAAGATTTCCTTTTCCATTATCAAAACTCTACGGGAGACAAGTACAAATTTAGTGCACGCTTCTATAATTGAAAATTGTACTTCAATGTGTCATCTAAGCTAACCTAGCTCTTAAAATCAATACTTTTAACTCATTGACCAAAAAAGCTGAGACTTTGAGGCTACTTCTCTGATTTGAAAAAAAAAAAATCAACTTTCACAGTTCTTTAGATTTCTTAGCAGACTTTGTGTGAAATGCATGCACACATAATCCCCAAAGAGTATTGTTCCACCCCGGCAGAC